CAAACTCTGTGCCACCCAGGGCAAAATAGAAATAGGATTGGGCAAAGCAGCTGCTCAGGGAGATGGTTTTTTGATCAGAACTCAGGATGGCAAACAATTTAATGCTTGTGGAGGATGTAAAGCAGATTTCCAGGAAGGCCAGGTTGCTAATGAAAAAGTACATGGGGGTTTGCAGGTGGTGATCCACACGCACGAGGAAAATGATGATTGCATTCCCTGTCACTGTTGTCAGGTACATGAGCAGAAGGATCAGAGAGAGAAGCAGCTGCAGCCTTTGATCAAGCTCTGGAAAACCCTCAAGGATGAACTCGGTTGCTGCTGTTTCATTTGCTGCTCCCATGCTGAATTTCAGTTCCTCCTGCCGAGACAGGAACGTGGCAAAACCCAGGGTGATAATTTCACAGTCTGGACAAAATGTTCTATCCTTCCCTCTCTGCTCCTTTCTTTTCCTGCAGTCTTCCTGTCTAGCAACAGAGATTGTCCTTCAGGCAATTCTCACCCAATGATATTTCTGTTTCACATTTGACTTGGAGTCCTCAGGGATTTTTTTTGTCTTGTTTCTACTTTTTCTTTCACCAGAATAGAGGGTTCTAAAGAGGCTGTTGGCTATTTCACCCCATTCCTGGGAAATTCTAAGCTCACTCACACCTATTGCAAACATCTGTCACACTTCACAAATGCTAACCCATGAAATCACATCCATCCTGTATGTCTAGAGCTCTTGTTTCTATTTTCAGTGTTTGTCGTTTGCATTGGGAATCCTCAAGAATCTGTTGGTTTCAAAAAAAGCAATATCAAATATTTTTCAATCTCCTGCTTTCTGACACAACTTCTTGCTCTCTTCAGGTTCTTCAGGAAAAGAGAGGGGAGGGCAGAATAGGGACCAAGTATAACTTGCCTTTTTAGTCCTCTAAATAATGAGCAGCATTTGTTATGGATCCACACAGTGTGTCACAGAGTCCCACCTCACACCCGTCTGCACAAAAAGGCATTTGTTTCCATACAGTTGCTCATTGCTCTTGCTCTCAAAGGTTCCAACCAAAAGGCAGAGCAAGAGAACAGTGCCAGGAAGAGATTTGTAAGCTTTCTTTTGCCTGTCAATTTTAGACTGGGAGAACCCAGCCTGCAGAGCCTTCTCTTGCCTCCACTGACTACAGAGGGAGCCTGGAGAAAACAAGTTCCCAGGAGCACCTGCAGGGGAGTAGATGAAACTCACTGTTCGAGTCTCAAATCTCTGATTAATTAAAAGTTGTTATGCTTTTAAAGCAAATTTCCCAGTTCACAGAAAGAAGCAGGAGAAAAAAATGTTCAATAAAGATGGGCCTTTATCCTTTAATCTTTTGATTTTGTTTTTAGGCAGAGAGGAGCAGAGCCTGTGACTCCAAAAATAGGGTGATTGGAAATGCCAGGGGGGAGAAGAGGTTCTGAGATCAACTGGCATCCAGCCTTCCACCCATCCCCAGCACGTCAAGCAGACCACGGCCCCAAGTGCCATGTCCAGTCTTTCCTTAAACACCTCCAGGGATGGTGACTCCACCGCCTCCCTGGGCAGCCCATGTCAATACCTAATCCCTGTTTCTGCCAAAAAATTCCTGCTCCTGCCCCTGACAAACATCCCCTGACAGGCAGGTCCTCATGTCCTCTTGTCCTATTGTCTGTTGCCTCACAGAAGAGGCTGAGCCCACCTGGCTCCACCCTCCTGTCAGGAAGTTGTGGACAGTGAGAAAGTCAGCCTCAAGCCTCCTCTTCTGCAGGTTGGAGAACCCCAACT